AATTTCTCAAAGGAAGTTTTACCGAAACCAAGGAGTAAATATCTATATATATATATATTATTCAAAATGCGATACTACAAAACTCCTATATAGAGAAGAATCAAAGTCTTTGGAGGCACTAAGCGCTTAAGGCGACGAAGTGCAGCTACCTTAGCTAATATTCTCTTAAACATTACATTTGTAGATATATTCTTAGAAAGATAACTTCTGGAAGATAATGTAATGAGCACATAGTTAATGAGAACGAACAAGACTGAAACAAAATCACTCAGTTAAAGACTAAGTTGACTATAATGTTTTACTTAGCTATACATAGTAAGCAGTACATAACATCATGTCGCTTCAGGAAATTATTGTTACTTTGTTGGGAACTGAGGCTCATTTTGTAGGCTAGAATGGGGATTATGGCGGTTCAAAATGTATTTTAGTTCTCTTACACGCGCGCGTGATTGTTCAGCGGTTTTATAAATTGTATTTAAGCCCTCTCACACTCGCGTGTTTGTTCAGACTATTTGTTACCTTTTTTTAGTTCTCATTTTCTCAAAATGATGGACTCCCGGTCAAGTGGTCTGGATTTGAGACCTAGACGGGTCATTGGATAAAATACTTTATTCTCGTTCTCTCTCCACCCAGGAGTAAAACTGGGTACTAGTGAATTGTCAGGGAAGCCTGATGAAGTACTGGGGACTAACTTCCCATGTAAGGGAATGTAGTGATACTCCAAGTCGTTCAATGCAACTGACAGGGATAAGCTGGCAGTGGGTGGGCCATGGCCACATGTTTGAAGCAACCTCGTTCCCAGGGCTTTTCCCTTTTTGAATATTTTGGCGCCCACCAAAATATTCAAAAAGGGAAAAGCCCTGGGAACGAGGTTGATGGTTGAAGTACAGACCTAGTTAGCCTCTATATATCTATCTGCTCATACTTTTGAAAAATACACGCTACCCTTCCGCGTTCTCGTCGTTGTGCATTGTTTCAGAGCTTATGAACATGACAACAAATGCGCCCATGAGGAGAGCAAAGGAAGACAAAAAATGCCAAAGGTCGTGCCAGTCGAAAAAATCGAAAATTACGCATTCTTTGTTTTGGTAACGGGAGTTTTCCGGCGAGGATGTCTTGTTTGTGGTGGGTAGCAACGTGAAAACGCCAAAGGCTACCACCAAAATGATTAAGGTGAAAAAGATAAAAAACCCTTGAAAAATTTCCACGGCATTCGGTGCCGAGCAATTACACTTGCCTCCCGAGCAACAGGACAGCTTTTTCCAGGGCCTAGCTTTAGCTAGGATTGCGGTGACGCTACAGACAATGCATGCAAACAGAAAAAATTGAGCCAGATCACTAAACAAGAAAGCTATAAAAAGCCCCAAGGGTACTGCTACGCCACCCAAAATGAATAAAATCACGTTAACTGCATTTCGACATTTTTGTTGTTCATGACAGAAAATATTTCTGTGGGTGTTTAACTTACGAAAAGCCCAATAAGCCACTCCGAACCACCAAATGACCAGAAGCGTGAAGAAAAACCCTTGCAGCACTTTGTTAAGCCCAGAATCGGAGTTAAACAGCGAGCCGAAGTAGTTAAAAATAAAAAGAGGTACAATGAAAAAAAGGAAGAAGTTCGAAGCGCCAACTGGATACTTAACATTTTCAGAAGAAGGACAACGATTCTGCTCAATGCCATTAAATAACATCAGCACTGTTAAACCAGCTATGATAAACATGAAGGCCGAATCGAACTGAAATGTGAACCTGCTTGGACAGAAGTGGTAAAGTGTTGAAAACAATCCCTCGAAGATTAGTCCCCAGGAAAACGCATACCCAATGGAAAAACAGTACCTCTTTTTCATTGCTTCGGCAATAAATTTTTTCTTTTCTGAATCCCTGATATTATCGTTTGGAATTCTTCCCTCAAAAAAATGCGCTGTGGCATTGGGACATATAATAACGTGGTCAGGAAGGAAAGCCTGCTGTCTTGCAGTTCCGCTAAATTTATCCTGAATTTGAAGGTACAGCTTTGTTTCCAGCCTCCATACGCAAATAGTTAAGATTAAACCATGAATTACGTAAGCTAAGTTACTTATCATTAAATTAAAAGGAATGTCGTGTTTGAAAACTCGATAGCAAAAGTCGTTGTAGTAACAATTATCTCTGTCACCCTCCAAAATCATTGTACGCCAGTTTGCAAAGACAAACTGGAATGATCCGACCATAAGAACGCTTCCCACAATGCCTGTGATGTAGGAGAAGGTTTTTGGACCGTGAGAAAACCAATAATCTTTTCCTACTGTGAACATGGCTGAAATAAATTTTCTCCATTTTTGATACCATTTTAGTTCATCATTTGTATTGTTGCGATTGCTGTCCTGATTACCAGACGATAACTCCTGAAGTTCTCTAATGTCCACACTTACAAACTTCACCACTGTGAGGGATTCCTCAAAAAGCCCTAATGCTATGACTGAAACTAATATGCCACCCAAAAGTGATGCAAAAACTAGGACACAAATGGGTGTGGTATAATTATAATCGAACGACCTTGTCAGCTTCAAAACAACATTTTTTGAGTCACTAAATTTAACGTCACCTGATAAGTTCTTAAGACCAATTCCAATGAACCATCTGGAGATGGAAACATTTAAGGGGGGAATGGAAGCTCTGGATAAAGTAATCCGTCCTTTTGATTCAAAGGAAAGTCGAAGAGATTCTTTCTTGTAATCAATACTCTCTAGGTCTTCCTGGAGATCGACTTCTTTACAGTTCTGCGTTACCTTCAAATAGGCGGAAACTTTGGATTGAGACGTGACGGTTATGTCCAATTGTTTATCAGAGATACCTTGAGGTGGAAAGAATTGGAAAACGCTCACCTCATCTCCCCTGACATTGACTGTGCGTGGCTCATCTAACACAATCTCGGAGCCACCTTCGGCTATTTGCACTGTGAAAGACAGATTACCTGTCCCTTCAACTGACAATAGCTTTTCCCCAGAGTTTTGATGATGATTTGTCGAGCCAGATGAGCAGAGGTTAAGAGTTTCCCAAAAAGGAGTTGTTTGTGAGACTTCCAGCTGACCGAGCAAGGAAGATCTTCCTGCTTCATAAAGAAAGACGTGCAAGAAGCCTAAGGAAAAAAAATACAGGGATCATGAGGATGATAAATATATTTTTCTGTGGTTTCTCTATTAGGATACACTTTGAAAAAACCAAAGCAAACACGACAACCAATCAAAACAAAGGTTAACATCATCAATAACCAATGAAAACTCAAAGTATAAACAGGCAATCTGCTTAAAGCGCGGAAAAACGCGGGCGCGGCCAAACTGTGACTGGTTTTAGTTGTGCATATGATTGGTTGAGAATGTGGCGCCAGTTTTCTGGACCAATCACAGAGCGAAGTAGAGCAACCCGAAAGCAATTCAAGATTTCTTTGGTTACTTAATTAAAAATTGATCAAGTACCAATCCATGTTGACTCGCGTGTTAATTTATGTAAAATCCACCCTGTCATTCATATCTTTTTGACAGTACAAGTATCAACATCCGTAAATTAAAATTCGAGTGAAATTTGCATTTGAATTTTTATTTCAGCATTTGTAGAACGTTATTTTGTCATTAAACGGAGCCATTCAAAGTTCGTCATGCGTCCTACAACCGTTAAACGCGTGACATTTTCACTGGCAAAATGCGATATAAAACTCCATCGAGTCTGATTGAGTAAAAAAAATTCAATACTTTTGACCACTTGGTCCCTCTCCGAAATGTATCAAACTGAAAAAAAAATTGCTCCTCCTGTAAAGGCAAAGATTAGAAGGTAAAGTTCAATGTCAGTCACTGCGCCCACGATAAATTCTTTCAGCAACATCGTCTGGCACAAAATCACGAAGAACGTGATCATAAGCGGAAAAATCATAAGAGGAAAACACTTTAATGCCAAAAGAATGCTTTTTATTTTTCTCGTGCTCAAGCGGTTTTCTTATCCAAATACGACCAAACAAGTGCGGTCACGATCGCACTTTAACTTGTTCCCGTGTAAAGGAGTCGCTTCGGAAAACTAGCCTTGTAAATGAAATAATGAATACTTAGCATAATGAATATCAGAGAGGCTTGATTCTTAACGTTAACGTTCACCTCAATGACCTTAATTAAAAGAAATAAATTGAGTTTCACCGTGTATGATAAATTTAGCTCAGCATTAACTCTATTTTCACCTTCATAGTTGTCGTTCCTCTTGGCTCTCAAACGTAGAAACCGTTTGGGTTGGTCTACCTTCAAAATGCAAGATTGTTGTATGTTACTATTGTTAGAAACCCTGCCAGTAATGCTAAGGACCAAAGATTCATTCTGGTCACTACCGACAGCCAAGCCGGGCGTACAGTTTGCTTGAAACTTTCCACGAGCTAAAGGAATCCCTGAGAATGAAGATAATAACAAAAGCACAGTCGAAATCATCTCGGAAGATTCAAGCACTATACCAGATCAGATGTGTGTTGACCTCTTCCGTGGAATGAACGTGCCGTGCATGCTAATTATCTTACAAATAAGTAATCGAGGATACTGTCATCAAGCGTCCGGTTACTGAGCAGTTATCCGGCGTTGGGGTTTTTTAGCTGGACGAATCAGATATTACTTTCCATAAACTTAAAGAATAGAGCTTTCTCAAGCGATGTGTGAGGCGCGACTGAAGTTTGGAAAGCTCGTTTGACGTTAAAATCGTATTTTTTGTCACAGGCAACTGGCCTCGTTTCTAGTGGCAACGTGTCGTTTACTTCTTTTGGCGGGCTTGATAGCGACGCACGATTCGGTTACCATTGGAATCAAGCACGAGATAGGGCACGTTCAAGGGCACGTGGGTCGTGCTACTCGCGCGTTTCCTCGCTGAGCGCGAGTGCGTGAAACTGGCGCGCGCGATCAAAGAGTACCTTGTTGTTTATAACGTTACGCTTCATTAGACCAGCGGTTTACTTCTTCAAGCCATCGGCGAATATTTGGAAATTTTCCAGGTTCGTGTGTCTAGCGCCCGGGAGTTCACTACTTTGCACCATTTCCAACCTGCTGCCGAGTCATGAGCAAGCAGCAACCAGGTAGCATTAAAATAAAGCCAAAGCGACTTTCGATTCGGCGTACAGCACGCTCGCCAAACCGAATGGGCTCCGAAAGATTACGCCATGATGCGTTTGACCAAGATCGCGAGAGCCCTCTTCCACCCGAAGTTCGTTCAAGATTATGGACACTATTTGCTCAGATTGAAAGAGAATTCGAGAGCCAATACGCTGAAAACATTGCCTGTAAGTGAACCATGATTACATGTCTTTTTCTGACGCATGCTCTTCGTAGTTTATATAAACTTGAACACTTTGACTCGTAAGCTATTGTTATTCAGTGCACAAGCCATTCAAAAGAATGTAATCCGAAGTCTCCTTGTTTTCGTTCTACGTCTGTCTGTGAGAATTTTACCAATTACTTCCTTTTTTTTAACGCGCCACTGAACCAAGTTCACCCCTATTGTGTTAAATGCTCAGGCTGTTTTGTTAAGAATTGTGCCTTTTAATATAACTTTTAAAATTTTGTTATTCAATGAAAGATTAAGGTGCAAAATACACTTGTTATGCCAAGTGAATTTAAATATCGTTCTGTTTTATATTGTTACATGTTATGTTTTATTCTGTCCCGTGAAACTGAAACGCAAGGAGTATCCGATATATATTGAAGCGCAGATATATCGGATTTAAGAAATATTCCATATACATAAATTTTGTAATTTACATTTCATCTGACTTCCAACCTACATCATGTAAGTTACTGTACTGTTTCCAGTTGTTAAAGTTAGTACTCATTCTTCAAAAGTGTTAGAGTTGAGTCATTTTCTTTACCATTCTTAAACAAAAGTTGAATTTAAGAAATGGAAAATGAAAACTTCTTGTCACATATTTAGTGGAACCAGAGAAGTGAAAAGGAACAACTTCTGTAAATATAATGTGAATTAATTATTAATCAATATTTGGTAACCCAACAGGTAACCAAATTTCAATATTTTAAGTTAAGTGCAAAATTGCAGGCATACTGTATACTGTTCCATGGAATAAAGCTCCCAAATTCTTTTATTTTTCTCCCAGACTATTGAGCCAAAGTCTTTCATTTAACACTAATGAATTTGAATATATACAGATGAGGTTATTATTCATGAATTTGTTGATTACCAAGGTGAACATAAACACGTAGAAACATGTAATTTGAATCGAGGTTAGCCATGTCGTATCAAAATTTTAGTCTTAGCTAATAGTATTGTAATTTCTGTGGAATCAGCCATTTACTATATTACTATCAGTGGCTATTTTGATACAGGGTGACCATGATAAATCAATATGATTCTGTATTTGGTGCAGCAAATCTCAAAAGAATGAATAGGTTGCATGTATAATTCTTAAATTCCTACTTGTGGCCATCATGTCCCCCTTCCCCTTGCATTGATAAAAAAGATGCAAGTCAAAGTCTTGTAATCTGAGTTAAAGTTTGAAAGAAGGGCCTATTTTTAGTTTTAGTAGGTTTTTTTTTTCCTACAAAAAATGACATCAATACCATTCCATAATGATAGAGCAGGGAACCTTGAAGGAGCAAATTAATGATGCAGTTGATATTGTTAAAACCCAGCTGTTGTTTTCTTCTAAGATTTATATAAATTTCAGAATATAATGGGTGATAATGATGTAGGGTTGTCACTGAGCACTGGCTACTGGCAAAATTCACCAGATGAAAAAGCGATGATTGCTAGCTGAATTTAATAGCCGGCAATCACTCTGAAAAGCATCATGGGCACTTCAGAGGTTATGCACTTACAATTGTTTGATATCAAATGTCATCTTTGAGCAACCTCTTTTGAAATTTCAGCCTGTAGTGTAATTTCTTAAGTACAACCCTGATGACCAAGCAAAATTTTTCTTCAGATTTAAAACATTGATATAAGACTATTAGAAATACTGTATTTATTCATCTATAAGGCAAAAGATTTTTTCACAAAACTTTAACAAAATCTCGAAAATTTGAGCTAGAGAAGGGTTCTCGGCTTATAGCCGAGTGTCTTTCCAAACATAATATTTTCGAAACAGCAAATTCAAAGGAAACATAGATATATTTGTCTATAAGCTGAGATAGCAGAAGTAAATAACAAAACAAGTTGAAGTTGGTCATTGACTTTAATTATGTGGTTGCTTCCAAAGGAGTGGTTTGTTGTTTTCAGTGTGTAGTAAATACGGCTTACCATTCGTCCTCAGTGTCGTCGTGGAATTCGTTGTCCATCTCCTCCTCATCCGCTAGTTCTGCCATTTATTCCAAGTAGATTGCTTTATCTTTCATGCTGTCTAGAGTATCAGAGATTCTGCAGGTTTTGAACAAGTGTATAGTAGTATAGAGCTTGCGAAAGTGTTTTAAAAATTTCGAAGCTGACCAATCAGAATTCCCCATTCCCACGATTGGTAAACAAACTTGTCTATCGTCACATGTTACAGTGTTGAAATTGTTTTGCGATCACATAAAAAGAAACTTATCTTGGCCTCTCTGCTCTGTAAACCAATCAAGTAACCTCTCATCCAGCTGCGGTTATTACTGAATGTTATGGCCCATCATTGTGCGTTTCACTGACATCTCAAGCTCTCCATTTAAGGAGATTCTCTTGATCTTTCCTCTAGCGACTCACTGATGACTTACTCTCTGGTTATCTCGGAATGTGTTTTTGAAGGCAATACTGCATTGAAACTCCTTTCTGTTTCGAAACTTTTGCGTTCATTTCAATTTGTTCGAGAGTGAAATTCTCTGAATGTGGTCTCGGCTTATAGACGAGTACTTTAAATTTACATGTTTTAAGAACCTTCCCAATTAAAACAGACCAAAGTTTACGGTCTCGGCTTATAGCCGAGATCAGCTTATAGACGAATAAATACGGTACATTAGAAACAAAGTGGATTCAACTTTAGTGCAACAGCCAAAACTTCTTCAGAGCAGATTAAAGCTAGTGATTTCATCAGAAACACATATTAAAAACCACTGGATATGTTCCTTTGTGGATATCTTTGGAATATTTGGGTAATATAGAAAAATAAAATATGCAATATGTACTGTTGTATTTCATAGATCAGCTGCCTTGACTAGCCCTCAAAGCCTGTATATACTGCTAATATGCTGTATATATGTATTATTAACCAAGTGTACGGTCAAGACGGCTGGATATTGGCCGAGTTCTTTTTTTGCATTTTTATGGACCAAGACAAAGTTGAGGTCGATAAGAATGTGAGAAAAGAAGGAGGCCAATATCAAGCCATCTAAACTGAACAAGCTTGGTTAATAAAGAATTTATTATATTGCAAAAACATTTTGCTTTATTAAGAATGACTTGTTTTCTTTGGAAGCTGGGAAAGAAAGCCAGCTGTGTTTGTAACACAACAAACTCACAAGAGTTGTTTCAATCTGTTTTTTTATTTTGGATTTACTATCTTTTGCCACTTTTTGCATTTCCATTGTGGAAATTGTCCAAGAATTACAAACTCAGTTATAACTTTACAATGTGGGCATTCCTGAGCGGGCAAGATGGGCCCATCTTGTCCTCTCGGGTAGCCAATCAGAACACAGGATTTGCTTCATCTTGCCCACAGGTGCTGGGAGAGATGTAATAAATTAACATTACTATTAACCCTTTAACTCCCAGAGGTGATTAACATGAAACTTCCCCTTATGATATCCATACATTATCCAGCAAACAGGTAATGAGAATACTCAAACTTATCAGTTAGAAGTTGTTATCCTGATATAACACCAAATTCTCCCCTCTAGCAGCTTATAGAAGGAAGATTTAATAATCAGATCTTGGGAGTCATGAAACTATGCATGTTTGGTCTTTTGACTTGCTTCTAAAAGTAGCTTCCAAGTTGTGGGAATTGATGGGAAAATGAAGTTCTCATCGAGGATTTGTGAAAACCTTGTTATTAAAGAGTTGTTTTAATTATACTTACCTTGTCTGATCTTGGTTTTTCCACTACAGTGCAAGAGCGAGTTGAAGCTTTGAATGAGAAGTTGGATGTTGTGCTCAGTGGAGGAGAAAAGATACTGGATGGAGAAATGTCAACTGAAGGTGGCCCAGCTAAACCTGGATACGGCAAAAAACCATGTATGTCTCCAGTAAAACAGTAACCTTTAACATCTGAACATCAGTATTCATTTTCTCTATATTGTCCTTTATATATTAATCATGGTACCGACAAAGAGAATTTGTCTAACAATCAAGAGCTTCACTCTTATGTTTTCTCTCATGATCCTAACCCATTCAATCTCATGAGTGACTGAGACAGAATTTCTCCTTACCCAAACTCCAAACTCACCAATGCCTGTTATTTGAATCACAGCTGCAAGCCAGTTGATGTCACAGAAGCTGAAAACTACCTATAAGGCTTCCACCAGTAAGGTACATTACTTGCAAATGACAGATACAGCATTTTTAGATAAATTTTTCTTGAGCCACACTTTTCCAGCTTCTAATGGGGACATCTCATAGAGAATAAGTACCTTTATTTAACATTGCAGATTGTTTCAAGTTTCAAGACTCCAAATCAAGTGCCCAGCATTGATTGCCACAGGGCACGGAGCTATGCTGGACACAGAGATGGGGTGTGGGAAGTTTCCTGTGCTAGACACTCGTCCACCATGATAGGAACAGCATCAGCAGGTAAGTGTACTATTTAACTCTTATACTCCCTGGAGTGACCAAGACAGAATTTCTCCTAACAATATCAATACAATGTCAAGCAGACAAGTGATGAAAATTTAGCATGGATATAAATTATGGGAGTTGTAGTTGATTTAAAACCAAATTCTCCAAATTACCGTCATAGGAATTTGTTGGCAGACAGTAAGGAGAATTCATTTGTTAATGGTATTTTGAGAACAGAAGGGTTAACTTCTCAATTTTTAGCACCAAAGATTACAACATAATTGTAGTCTGTTTATTTTGGTCGAAGGTGTATCTTGCTGTAATTACCTTCCAAAACTCTAAATTTGTTTAATTGCAGATCGTTCAGCCAGGCTGTGGGATGCAGAAACAGGGCAGTGTCTACTCAAATACTTGGGCCACAATGGATCTGGTACCTACATATATCTTGTGTAGTATTGCTGAGTATTTTTACAAGTTGTGCTGCAAAAAAATAATTTAAATTGTCTGCCCTTTTTTTTGTAACTTCAATCCTGTGTAACAGGTTCTCTGGAGTACAAACACCATGTTACATTTGTACTTGTCTTGGGCATTATTTGTACTCTATGATGTATAGTTGGATTATAAATGCACACACTTGAATTCTTAAACAAAAGAAAACCAAATACACTGCCATGCAAACTGTGAATGTTGATTTTCTTGGTTGCATTGAATGAAACTACAGACTTTGAATTCATTCGTTTTTTATTTGTAATTTTTGCCTTATGGCGATTTAAAGTTTGGCTTTAGGCAGTCCTGCTAATGAAGTTTTCTTATTCAAATATAACCCTTAAGTCCCAAGAGTGACCAAGACAGAATTTCTCCTTGCAATATCAGTACAATATCAATTAGACAAGTGATGAGAATAAAGAAAATAATTATCAAGCAGGGGATTATCAGCTGATCCAAAATCGAGTTAGACTCCAAAGTAACATCATAAGAATCATTTATTACAGGACTCGGGCAGTCAAAGGGCCAATAACTAAAATCAACCAATCAAATTGCTCTATTGCTGGTCAATATTCTCTCAGTATTGGACCAGGCATTGTTCCGAATGGTCCCGAATGATACCGCACTTGTGTCCCTTCGAACTTCAGTCGTATAATAAATCTCTTATTAACCAAGCTTGCTCGGGACCGTACTGGAAGAATATTAGCCCTCTGTCTTTTTTGTATGGACCGAGGGCAGCGAGGTCCGTACTGTCAAGACCTCAGGCCAATATTCTCCCAGTACCGCCCTCGCACTTGGTTAATAAGATATATATATGGCAGACAGTGAGGAGAATTACTAATAAGATCTTGGGAGTGATTTTCATGTCCGTAATGGTCTTCTTTTGCCTGTTTATTTTTCAGTTAATTCCATAAGATTCCATCCAGCTGATGCAATCATTTGTACAGGTAAAGTACAAATAATGATCATGATTTCTTTTTATGAATTCCAAGTAATCCTTTGAAATGATCTTGATGTCAGCAGGCAAGTCAGAAATTTAAAGAAAACAACAAAACTTTTGAGTTTAAAAGACAAGTTTCGACAGAAACCTCTGTCATCTTCAGTTGATCAACAAAGCATGACAAGTTGAATTTATAAGTACATGCTAATTAAGCTAGTAACAACAGAAAAGGTGACAATATGAAAATTATAAGGATAGCTTCAGATTTACATGATGTAATTGTTGATTCAAAGAAGGTTGTTCTCTTTGGATGTGAATAGCTTCTTTTATCCTGAGTTGGAAACTCGTAGAGGTGTGATCTAAGATATGGAAACAATCTCCTGAACACAAGGTGCGACAATGTTCAGAATTCTGTAGATGTTTGAAAACGTGAGAGGCCCTATTACTGACTAAGTGCTAACTCATGTGTGTGGAAAAATGCCGGTCTGTTTCACCGACATAACAGGCATTACAGCCCACACATGCAAACATGTAATCCTTCCTTTCCTATTGTCTGTACTCTTAATGATTGTGAAAAAAAGAGTAAAAAAATGGTCAAAACAAGGTGAAATTTGTTTTCATGTATAATAGTAGCAGTAGTAGTAGTAGCAGCAGTAGTAGTAGTAGTAGTCATCAGTCAGTCTTTGGAACATGATGGAGTAGCATCCTTTAGGTTTGTTTTTGGCATCTTCACGAGTGGCTGTAGAGTTTGCCATGCAAATAGCAGTCACTGTTGCAGGTGTTGCATGTGATAGCAGACGCTCGTTTAGGTTGCTGATAAAATGCCTTACTCTTGCATCTATTTTCAGCAAGATGTTCAATATAAACCCATCAATAATGTCCATAGTGCTTACGAATTTCTTTGCTCATACTTGTGTAGTCTAATTGTCTAATAGTGTAGTCTAATAGTCGTATTGTCATTGGTTTTCAGCAACTGGGAAGATATATAATTTATATTTTTTGCTTTTGAAATATTGGGTGTACTGGTAGTTTTTTTGGTGTCAGCTGCTTGGTTTACAAAGTTTGCCTTTAGTTATTACTACCTTTGTGCCCTTGATTACAATTAACATGTACTAGCAATTTCATTTCAGGGTCAGGAGATGGTACTTGTCACATATGGAGGGCACTAGATTCAACTTCAGAACAGGTGAGACAGCTGATTTTAAGGAACTTTTCATCCATCCTTTGGACAAATTGGTTTTGAAGACATTTTAAGAGAATTGGTTGCTAATTAATTGGATGCCATGAAATATGTCTCTAGTGAAACTGCCACGTTTTGATCATCTTTTGAGGAATTGCCTGGCTGGAAAATTTTCCTAAAATAACTGAATTCTGAAAGTTTTTGGTGGCATTAGTTGAGCTTGAACCCTGATGATGATTCATTTAGTTTTTAATTTTCTGCAGCGCTCCCATCCAGGATCAGCAGATGAAGCAGACAATATAACAGATGAGGAAATTGATGGTATGTGACTGGATAATAAAATATACCTTTTATATTCAAATTCACTACCATGCTCAAATGAATATAAAACATCTATCGTTCAATATTAAGCAACCACAATTGGGGTGTGTCAACATGAGCTGTATGTGACCCTCTTTATTATGCCTTCATCAAGAAAATGGATAGGAATGGTACATTAACAGAATGAAAACTTGGAAATGTAAAAAGCACAGCAACAAAAACCACCCTACAAAACAATCTAAACTATGATCGTATAACAATGATTCTGTAAATGAGCTAAACCTCTCATACAGCAGCATGCAAAAACTACATTTAAGATAAACTGATAACCCCTAATCGCTGGGTATTTAATTTCAAGGGCCTAGGGACGGTTGTAAGGTGCAAATGAATCTAAATGACAATAACTCAAATAATTATGTATAGCTTACTGCTATTGAAGCAATTATAACAGCATACCTTGTAACACTCTTAAGAAAGGGTTACGTAACCCACAATAAATACATTTGGCTGTAGACTGGTGTGACATGGGATGATAGACAATAATGGAAATGAAGAATTATTAACCTTAATCCTTTAAAGAGACTCTCTGTTACTTCATCTCAGGCAGTCCTCCTTTATATTGACGTTTTTTTTTTTTTTTCCTGGGTGGAGAGAGGCCATGTCAGAGTAAAGTGTGTTTCCCAGTTTCTTAGTCAAGCATACATAGATCGAACTGTGCCAGTACTAGTATTTGATTACCATTCATTGAATTTTTTTCAGGGTTTGACAATGCAGATGCTGGAATAGCTGCCATTGTTTTGAAATCTCCTCTCTGTGAATTGAAGGGACACGAAGGTACATTGGTTTTCTCACATAATTATCTTTTTTCCCACTTTTTTCATTTCCCTTTTCTTCATTTTTCCTTTTTTCCTTTAACTCAAACTCCATTTTTTTGACATGCAGGGGCAGTAATTGCAGCTGATTGGTTTACTTCAGGAAAGCAGGTGGTCACTGCTTCGTGGGATCGAAGTGCAAAATTATGGGATGTGGAGACAGCTGAACAAGTTCATCAGTTGACTGGTAACTATTCAATTAAAATGTTTTTGTTTACGCATCGATTCAACTTTTTCACTTTTAAAGGTCTTATCATTATTCCCCTTATTGTCTCCCATACAATTCTTATGATGTTAGTTCAGAGAATTTGGTATTGGATAAACTAATAACCTCCTTGTTGATATTTTTCTTTATTCTCATTACTTGTCTGCTTGATATTGTATTGATTTATTGATTTAGTTATCAACCATAATTTAGAAGAGATGCCCAGTTCAGCATATGCTGGTTTAAATGGGGCTCTGCAAACCCACCCATCCCACCCCAGGGGAGGACATCCATCACGCAGTAATCTCGTGTGTGGGAAATTAACGTCTCCTACCCCTAACCCTGTAGGAGACGGGACCTCCATTTATTCGTCCCTATCCGAGAAGACTAGAATATCTAACCATTTCTTGATGTGAAAGAAAGGCAGCATATTCTTCTCAATTATGTTGAGACCTTGAGTGTTGGTCCGGCCGGGAAGAAATTCTGTCTTGGTCACTCATGGAAGTAAAAGGGTTAAATAGACTGACCCACTGAAACTAGGACTATTATCTTCTATCTGGAGATCGGGCCAGTTGTAAAGATGTACGCATAACGCACGGTAACCCTTTAACTCCCAGAAAACAGGTGATGGGAATACTTAAACTTTTCGGGTTGAAGTTGTCTTTATCTAATGCCAAATTGTCGTAACTACTTCACAAGGAAATGTGTTGTAGCTAGAGGGGAGAATTAACGATCAGATCGTAAGAGTTAAAGGGTAACAAAAGGGAGTATATATCACTGTTGTTGCTACTGGTTACTAAAGAGGAAGCTATTGACGAGAAAGCAGTTGCTAAAACCTGGAATAATTTCTCTTAAAGCTTAGAACTCTACTTTGTACGTTTATTTGCTTACTAGTCTTAAACCTAATGTACGTCGAATGCAATTCAAGGAGTGAAATATTTACAGGATACTTTCTCATTCTATCTGTTAGGTCATGATCAAGAACTAACACACACCTGTACCCACCCCACTCAGCAACTGATTGTCACTTCCTCCACTGACACAACATTCCGTTTGTGGGACTTTCGGACACCTTCCATTCATTCAGTGAATGTGTTCCAGGGACACTCTGAGTAAGATAAATATTACTTGTGTGATAATTTTAAGGATACCTTACCTCAGCTGCGTGGGAAGTGAATGAATTTGTTAGCGCAGTGGTCCAAACTGATTCTATGAATTATTACGGAAGAGAGATCTACAAAGTCTTCTTACTGTTTTGTTATTACCCTGGCGGTTGAGTGAAGGAAAAATGCTCTATCTATTCACTTTGCCTGCCAAATGACTCATTTGTGTTGTTGTTTGTTCACAGCACAGTCAGATCAACTGCTTTTACGACAAAGGATATCGTTGTAAGTGGCAGTGACGATAGAACTGTTAAGGTTAGTGTTCCTTAATTGTGTAAAAGGGACTGGGGGATACTGAGTAGGGGTCTGGGGAGACTTAAAAAATGGGGTACCAGGAAGGGATTGGGATTTAGGGATACTGGGTAGGGACCTAGGAAACTGAAATAGGGTGTACTGGGAACTAGGCCATAAGGAACGATGAATTGGGGTACGAGGGATTAGGGATCGTGGGACAGGGGAAAGGGATAGGAAAACCGGACAACAGGGGGTTAAGAGTTGTGATGTAACGCCATCAGGGTGAAAGGTGTCAAGGTCTTTGTTGGAGCTATCATTTAAAGTTTGAGGTGTGGATGTTGCAGAATGGATATTAAGCTCAGGTTAGAGAGGATTGAGCATTCCGCTTTGCAGAGAGGTGCGAGTGTCATTGAATACAGAGTAATGGATCTCGGAATTAAGGGATCAGAGTGAAAGGTAGCCAATGGCTTTACCATGATTTGGGAGAGGAAATGAAAGAAGTCGAAGTTAGGCGAACATGCAGTTTGAAAAAATCTGTTTACTGCGTCTTTGGGAGACTCAAACTAACAATCTTTCTTCCTAGGTCTGGGATCTGAAGAACATGCGCTCTCCTTTGACAACAATCAGCACGGATTCGTCGATAAATAGGTAATGAATTCCTAGCAGTACATACAACGAAGACAAAAATGGGACTGAGGCACTCACTATGCAGTTTGTCCTCCTCACTCGGGCTCTTTTTTTAAATAAAGGCTGATATTTTCTAAAGAAACTGTTTGGGGCTGCGTCGGTGGGGGTAACGAAATAATTTGGATATATCAACAAAGTTGAAATGGTAAATTGGCCACCGTAACGATTACAAAAGCTGACGTTCGAGCGTTAACCCTTCGTCAGAGCGAAAGATCTTGTCTCGATCTGAAAAATCCTCGACTTCAAAGTAAAATACCGATATTCCTTCTTCTTTCTCAAGAATTTAGTGTGTTGTAATGGTTTCAATGAAATGTTCAAATTATTTCCACAGACTCTCTGTATCACCAGTAAATAATGTGATTGCCCTTCCTCACGACAATCGACATATTCGGTTGTTTGACATAAGTGGTGTGCGACTCGCGCGACTTCCTCGTAGGAATGGTCAGGTAAGTATATGTCTGTACCTTGAATTCTGGTTGGACGCTATGCAACAGCAACTCACGACTGGTTCACTCACGTCAACAAGACGTCACCCACGTCTTCAGGCCTCATAGGATCATGACCATATTCATTTCCTCTGATTGGCTGCTCTGATTTATTTCTTGTTTCTCGTCGTAAGTTGTCCCCTCAGCAGAACCAGCTGCTAGGTTTTCTTTGAGTTCTGATTGGTTCGATTAGTTACCATCGTAACTGTGATATGGTTAAATCTGGTTTCCATAGTTTCAGTTCTCCGAAATTTTCCGGGAAACCACTCTAACTGTAACTTTCGTAACTTACTCGTATTTTGCCATTAAATTTACTGAATTATTCTGTCCGAATTTCAGGGTCATCAACGAATGGTTTGCTGTACTGCTTGGGGAGAAGAAACCAGCGCCAAGGCTTGCAATTTGTTTTCATGTGGTTTCGACAGAAGAGTGCTTGGGTGGCAAGTCAGAGAAGAGAAGGATAAGTGATTGGGAAGAGTTTGCGGGCGTGAAGCTGTCACGCAACGATTTACTCTATTGCTCGTCACGCAACGTTCCTCAGTGGAGGGAAGAGTCGCGTGACAACTTGAAAAAAAAAAGTTATCAGCAGTGCTGTCTCTTAATTTAAAATTTTAAGAAACATTTTACACTTGAGGAAATGTTGCGTTAAGCAAAGAAGAGTGGAATTTTCAATGTACAGGTCTAATATGATTTATTTATGAAGGCAGCTACGAAAATGCTAGGTTAAGAGTGTGGTTTTACTTGGATTTCTGAGGCCGAGTTGTTTCTACGACTAATTTATGTATAATAGATAAAAATTAAATCATACCAGCGTGTGCATATTGTTTATTCTTGTCAAGATGATTTTATGCAGATGAAACTTCACTTGTTGGTGGCCTCTCCGTACGGGCCCTTTCAGTTCATCTTTGTGGCCTAATGGTGTATACCGAGTTTTTACCACCAACAAGGTTTTTTATTCGCATGGCTTCAATATGTCGCTTTTGTGTTTTAGCTACGAACTAGTTACATGAAAATACTACATTTCAACCTACAACTGGACAAAATGTAACCCAAAGATCATTTTTATGAAATCTTCAGGAATACAATTTTCAGTGTTACACGTTTCAGTCATCGAGTTTTCTAATCAAGGCAGGATTCGCTTGAAAGGTAAAACCAAATCTATTGTCTTAAAAGAACTCTCTAAATTTGGGGTAACCATTATTAAGGTTCACGGAAGGCTGGTTTAAATTTCCGATGT